ATTTCTATGGCACTGATTATGGCAAGAATTACCTTGAAGGGTATTTGCCCAGTTTCTTTTTTGTTGTCCTCTCTAGAGTTATCACCTGTATATGTGTATTATTGTATCCCCATGATTTATCACAGTTCCTGGAGCAGGGTAAAGATTCAATTAATTGTATTGAATAAGTGAATGAATTGCTTTCATTCTGCATCTGTTAATAGAGAGTGTGTAATTGGAGGTAAAGCTTGTCTAGAGATGTGGGACTGAACACATGCAAATCCTTTCCTTCCTACGGAAAATTCACTGAAATAAGAGGAAAGATACAGTGAAAAGAATAAATCCATATTATTTCTTATATTTTTCAGAGAAGAGTAACTGTGGCATGAAGCAACACTGAATCTCAAAGGTTAAAACAATAAGAATTTATTATTACCCATGTCCTAGTTCAATGCCAGAGTTGGGGTGGGTTGACCAGGGAAAGAAAGAGTTTGAGGGATCATTTGGCAAGATATTTAGGAGCCAATCTAAAAGAGGCATTCATCATTGCTCAGAATCCTGCTTAGAAGCCATAACTCTGTCACATGGCCCCTCTTAATTATAAGAGAGAGGAAAAAAAGTAGAGATTGGCAAACATAGAACAGCCTTTTCCGTATCTCTGAAAAACAAGGATGCATGACCAACAAACCAGAGAATTTCAGGAATTTCTCAAAGCTAGAAAGCAACTGGAATTGTATTGGTGACTATAAATGAATAGAGAAAAACAGTGCCTATAAAATCTCAAGAAGAAATAAGCAGGAGAAAATTACTGCAGAAATGAAATCAATTCCAAAGATTCTTCAAACTTGGATTCAAATCAGACAAGAGACTTCTAGAATAATTGTCCAAAAAAAAAATTGATGCTCGAAATTGCATTCAGAAAAATTAGGTTATTCCAAATAGAGCAATAGAGACCATTATTATCACAACTGGGCGGCAAAGTTGGAGAGGGTATGAAATAACTCTGAGCCACCAGAAGGGCAGCCGTAGAAAAAAGTGAACACCTGATTCTAATGTTTTTTCCAAGCCTGAATTGCTCAATAGATGTGATTCCATAGTAGTTCTAAACAGGAAACTCAGAGCACGCATGAGGTCCAAAAATCAGGCAGTGTCTGGGTAGCTGATCACTGGAGATGGAAACACAGAAGACAAGTTTTAAACACATGTCCCAGCCACACATCCTGCCCTTTTTCCACAATCTCCAGAAGTAGGATAGTCATCAGAACAACATACAGAGATCCTCAAAGACAAGTTTGAATGACCAGATTTTGAAAAACCAACACCCTGAAAGGGATTACCAAATACAACAAAAAAGCAACTAATACTTTAAGACTAATTTTTTTTTTTTTATAGAGGCATGTTTTATTTATTTATTTGTTTGTTTGTTTGTTTGTTTATACATGCACTGGGTACAGTCAGAAGCGCGGGAGGGTGAGAGAATTCACCAGAGCCAGAGCGGGGAGCAGAGCAGGCAGAAGGACCGAGGTACACTGCTGAGGGGAGCAGTGGGCGGCAGGAGAGGTCTGCGCGCCATGTGGGACCCTCCTCCGGTGGCTGGGGATCGAACCGGCGCCGCAGAGGCCGCGGGCAGCTTCGTAACCCAGCACTCAACCGCTGCGCCACCGGGGAGGCCCAAGACTAATTTTAAAGTGAAAACAGAAATAATTTAAATCTATGTAATCAGTACACTCAGAAAGATTTATGAGTCTGCCATGCCTATGAAACAATAATTGTCTGCAACAAAAGGAAGAAGCCATCTATTTTTGGAAATAAAAATATTGTCAATCAAATAAAAACTCAATTGATAGGTTGATTAATGTTGGGAGACAATATTCCATGCATCTCTTGCATTTTTGGTATATCTTGCAAAGTGAGGCACTGACCGTCCTTTGTTTTACACTATCTTTTGGAAGATGTTTATTTAGCAAATGCTTCAGAAATCAGAAATAGTGTTTTCCTTCAGAGGAATACCTGCTTGTTTTTCAATGTAATAGGACTGTTCTTTTAGGGGCAAAGGTCAGATATGCGTATAAGAGATTCAGGAGCCCGAATAAGTTCAGGGTTCCTCTCCCATCACACAGCACCTTGTATGTGTAGGTAGGATCTGGCCTTTTTCTTAAGGGAATTAGGACTCAAGAAACCAATACAAATGTTCGTACTCTTGCTTCTTTTATCCTGTGATAATAAACTGCCTTTGTCTCTGACCCAGGCATCATATCATATGTCTCTTTCCAATATTCATGAAACTGTGACAGGCTAAATTGCAGTAGAGTAATGGAAATACTGTGACCCTATAATAATGAACTGAAAGATCAAGGCCCTAAAATATATATATATGGATTATGAAAGATAATCAAGAAACATAGATGACTAAATCTAGAGATTCAAATATAAAATAAGAATTCTGAAAGAATGGAGAGAGTAGAGAAGTAAATAATCAAGAAAATAGAAAAACATTATCAAACCTATAGAAAGGAAAAGATGTTTAAATTAAAAAGCCTGTAACACCTCAACGAATCACTCCATAGTTTATAATGATTGCAAAAGGAAAAGGGTGCTTCTACAATGGTCCACACTGGCAGAAACTAGCTTACCAAGCATTCAGTAATACTCAACTAATGTTGTTAATAATAGGACAGAGTCATTTGCTTTTTGATGCAAGATACGGAGAAGAACCCACTATCATGTCTGTAATATTCTTGGCCAAAATGCTTACTTTGAATTAGATATGCAGAAACAATAAGACAACTAATATATCAAAAACATTCTATAAAACAACTGTTCTGGACTATTCATTCAAAACAACTGATGACAAGAAAGACAAAAAATAAGAGACAAGATCCTGTTCTAGCTAAAAGGAGAATAAAGAAACATGGCAAACAATACAGTGCATAATCCTGTTTGATGCCTTGATAAAAAAAAAAAAAACTATGAAGCCCATTATTGGAAGAATTGGAGAAATTTGAATATAGACATGATATTAAATAGTATTGTATCAAATTGTATTATATAAAATCATTTATCAAAGTTAATTTTTTGGTGTGATGGTTGTTTTGTAGTTATGTAAGAAACTTTCCTTTTTTAGGAAATACACACTGAAGTATTTTGGATAAGCTGTATTAATGTAAATAACTTATTTTTAAATATTTCATCAAAACTATATAACTATAATATACATGAAATATATATGTGTATATATATGCCTATATATGTACTTCTATATATGTGATATATACACACACACAGAACTAAGAGATAAAAGAAACTATGATTAAATATTACCATTTGGTGAAACTAGGATATTTGAATATCCATTGTATATTCTTTTAAGTTGGCTGTAAGTTTGCAAATTTTCAGATTAATGAATTGGAGAAAATAGATTGCAAATGCTAGTCAAATGCCAAAAAATGGGTTTAAAAAGAACCCATACCTAGATATATTTAGGAGGCAATTCATAACTCAAAAGTTTAAAGATAACATCCTTAAAATTTTTAAGAGAGCCATTAAATAGGTTGCCCACAAAGCTTTCCCGGCTATAGATAGTAGACAAGGAGAAAACATTACCCACGTTCTGAGAGAAACTTAGTTTGCTCATTGATACTTATATCCAGTCAATTAGAAGTTAAGTGTGATAGGAGAGAAAGAGAGAGAACGAGAGAGAGAGAGAGAGAGAGAGAAAGAGAGAGAGAGAGAGAGAGAAAATATTTTCAGTCATATAAAGGCTTGCAAAGAAATCATAGAAATCATAGAAGCCATAGAAATATAGCATTAGGGATACATAAAGTTACAGAGAAAACCAGATTTGAAAGTATGCTATTCCAAATGTATCTAGTAGATGGTTTTCTAGGACAAATGAATTATCAAAATTAACTCAAGAAGAACAAAAATTTCAAATAAACCATTAAACCTAGACAATACTGAAAAAGTAATCAGTGACTCATTCCTCATTAAAGTTCCAAATCCCAGATGGTAGTAATTTATAGTTTCACTTGCAGTGAATTCAAACATTTAAACATTTTTGAAAAAGAATAATGAAGAACTTTCACTACCAAATACTAAAACCATAATAATAATTAAAAGTTCATAGAATTGGCACAAGGACAAACAGATAAATAAATGTGAAATAGTTTAGTATGTCCAGAAACAGACCCACATTTATATTGGAATTTAATATGTCATAAAGAGCAGTAAGGTCAACAGGAAAGTCATTAAATGGTGTTAGGGCAATTGGCACTTTATTTGAGCTAATAATCTATATCCTTTTCAGCCTGCTGTTATACAACAGCTTTGTAATTATTTATATAATTGTTAATTGTCTATCTCTAGTACTTTAAGAGACAGACTGTCATCCTTTCATCTCTATATCTCTGACATCAAGCTTAATCGGCAACTCAAGGAATATTTCCAAGTGAACAAATGGAGTAAGTGAATACATAACTGACAAAGCTGGGTTTGAAACCCAGTTCTTAGGTCACAGCCGATCCCCGGGCTCCCAGGATCCTCCCTTCAGAGGCACAGATGTTCTAGGCAAAATGAAAAACATTAGCAAAGTCTGTCTGGACTGGACTAAAACTCCCATTTCATTTCATATAAATCTAGTGCTAAATCAATTTGGAGATTTTTTTCCAGAGAGAATCGACTTGAAATCAGTCCCTGCATCTGAGAATCAAAAAGCATCATGGTTTCACACCCCCAAGCTAACCTGATTCTAACTCACTAAGAATGGGCTACAAAGCACCAATATTTCATCAAAATCAGGGGCCTTACTTTTATATTGACCTTCAGGTTGCATTGACCTCATGCTACCTTTCCCAAAATGTTGTGAAAACACACACACACACACACACACACACACACACACCATTTTAGTATTTGTGAGGGAGCATTTCACTCAAAGCGTAGTCAAGCTTTGCAGTCTTGGATACAGAATTTGCATTTATGATTTCTTATCCATTTCTCTTACCCACCCTATTACCCCTTAGGAAAGGAACCTGTCGGGGGAACCAAGGGTTTGGATTGCAAAATTGAGGAGAGTGCTGAACTGCCTGCTGTAGAGGACTCCTCATCATCCCCTGTAGATATTCAGCAACAAGCCTGGCAGGTTTCCACAGACATTGAGAACACTGAAAGGTAAGTGGGAAGTTCCCTTAAATAGACTGCCAGCCCTCCTCCAGTTAATACTGTTAGGGGCTACAGAAAGTGAAGATTTTCTCTTTCAGACTCAGAAACAGCTCTCATAAAACGGAGAGGAGAGACGGGAGAGACGGCAAACTCTGCAGTGAACAGTAGGCGAACCTCCAGCAGACATAGGCTCCAGCCTCTGCTTAGCTGACTCCGCCAGGCTGCATCACCATGGAAATGGAAACCGTGCTTCCTTGGGAAGGGAGCGTTGGATCTATGTATCATCACAGTTCACCTAGGTCCCAAAATATTCATTTGTTCAGGGAGACAAGTTCAGAATCGTGCAAAGATGCCTCAGATTTCAGGGGTATGGAAAGTTCTGCAGAGAGGTGGGTCAGGGGCCCACATCTGTCCAAGGCAGCAGTGGCAGGGCTCCCTTCCCTCCCCTCCAGAATGTAGCCAGTGGCCCCCCACAGTGGTCAAGGCCAGTTAGTACACTTATCTTAACCAGCAGTAGCCACTGCTAGAAAGGGAGTTTCTTTCTTTCTTGGGGAAAAAAAAAAGATATTCTACAAAGATTCCATTTCATTCAGGAAAAGGAAATGATAATAATATAATAATAAGTGTCATGTCTTCTCTAGATGCTAAAAATGCCATTTTATGAGGCAGAAGAATGAGGCCTTGTTTGTCAACCTTTGGACAGATATCCTGTCCTTTGCGGCTAATGTCCCCTGAGCCTGGCACAAAGCAGCTGAATGAAAACTGGGCAATTCTATTGAGTGCTCTGTGTGTGCTATGTTGAGTCATTGGCAAGATAGCGAGCATTTTATTTTTTATTTTTAGAAATGTAACACACAATGGCATTTATAGCCATTGTGGTTCTACAGTCAGGTTGTAATACAATTCTCAAGCTCATTACTGAATTTCTGTGTTTATAGAAAATTGAAGCATGTGGTAATTATGTGCTATTAATAAAACTTGGATTTTGTATAAGCTTGGTAATCCAACAATTCAAAAATAAAGCTGTTTGGCACCATTTGATAGAACTATAGATAAATGATGAGGGATTGATTTATCTTAATTTATCAAATAGAAAATGCTCTGTTCTAGTCCCAGGAAGAAATATCTGCCAGGATGCTAATGGTCAGGGCATAATCCATCAGCCCAGCCATTTTCCTTTTGAGAGACCTTGCACAACAGCTACAGCCAAGCTCTGTACGCTTGTAGAAAAGCAAGCTGTGGGTGACATAAAGAATGGGAGAGCACAGCACACAGGGTTGACAATGTTTCATTTCAGTCTGAAAATCCAGATTCCAGCCAGGGAAGGTGGAGACAAGTGAGGGAACTAGGCATACCTGGCTTGGGAGGGCAGTTTCCTCAGCTCTCCCTGTCTCACTGCCCCACGCTTGGGTCACAACCTGTGTTACACCTTAAAAACACCAGCTTCCCACAGAACTGAAGCATACAGCAAAGGAGGGGGAAGATAGGGGGCAAGAAAGGAGCAGGATGAGCACAAGAGAACATGGTGATGGTTCATGGGTGATAGGGTGGTGAGAGAACTACAGAGACTGCAAGGATGTCATAAAAAAATTAATAGGGCCTCCTCTGGTGGCGCAGCGGTTGAGCGCTGGGCTGCGAAGCTGCCCGCAGCCTCTGCAGCGCTGGTTCAATCCCCGGCTGCCCCGCAAAGGTCCCACATGGTGCGCAGACCTCTCCTGCCCCGCCCGCTGCTCCCCCCAGCGGTGTACTTCGTCAGTCTGCCTGTTCTGCTCCCTGCTCTGGCTCTGATGAATTCTCTCACCCTCCCGCATTTCTGACTGTACCCAGTGCTTGTATAAATAAATGAATAAATCTTTAAAAAAATTAATTCATAAAAAATAATCACCAGGGTCCCACCATAAAACAACAAAATCAGGCTCTCATGGGGTAGAACCTAGCAGCCGGGCACTCCAGGGCAAAAGCCAGGCTGAGAATTGTTGCATCTCAAGAAGACCTACCTCTCCAGCCAGTCCGTCTCACATTCCTACCCTGTCCCACCTTGTGCCTTCCCCTCCCACCCATCCTGTCTGCTCTGGAGAATTTTACAAAAAAACAATGCTTCCTTGGCTGGTTCTAGGAGCCAGTCCTCCTCTCTCCCCTTCCCCACACTCACCTTCTCACCCCAGAAATACTCTTTGCAGAGTGTCACCATGTAGCTCCCCACAGATACACCCTCATGCCTGTGAGGAAGAATTCTGGTTGTATTTACAGGTGTTATCTAGAGCTCCTCAAGGCTACTTTCCTCTCCTTTTCCAATCAGCAATCCCTGAGATAGTTTCATCTCACACATTGCCCAATACTTGAGAAGGAGACCCCATGGGGTTTCTACCTCCCCAAAGATAGGGATCTTCATACCGTACTCAACAGCTGTGTTTTCATAACGCGGACTGTGGAGTGTCATCTGTAAAGTTAAATGGTAACTCTCACTCTCCAATGGCAGAAGAAAAACAAGTTAAAGTTTCCTCAGCTTTAGAAATGTGTTCTCAAAAAAGCTTTCTTAAACCCCAAGGCCTGCTATTGCTCACCTATTCTAGAATTAACTAGATGGTGTATCTGATTTTTGTCTTTTTAATGCCCTGGGATTTGTGGCATGATGACTCCGTGGACAACCACCCTAATGTGGGGGAACCACTGGCCCCCTGACCCTTGGTCCCAGACTAGACGCCCTCAAGATGACTCCCTACTCTGCACTTCTATGGTTTATGATCCCACATACCTTGAGATGAGAGAGGATTTTGGCGGTAAGAGTGGCATATCTATATGCCCGTGTCCGTAGGAAGGGAGGCCCAGTGCCCCTGCTGGTACTGTGCTCGCTCTGTTTCATCCTTTGTGGACCTCTTCCCTGAAGGTTTTTGAATTTAACAGACTCTCCCCTCCCCTGACATTCCAAGTCAATTCAAATTTAATTCTTGTTAATAGTTTACACATGTGTTACACCAAATTGCAATCACATTAGACTTGTAAATTCAAGCAGAAAACAGTGAAACTACACAATCACAACAGCTACCTGACCTGAAAACCTTGAGGGCACCCTCAGTATTTGAGTTCTCTGCCCTTCCCTCCCCTTGGAAATCTGAAGTACAGTCCTCATTATCAGAGTCTCTCATCTGATCTCGGCCAGGTCCCACTGGAGGAACAGGTGAGAACGCCTGCAACAGAAGGCCCTGTGGAAATGCTTGCCAGGGTAGTTCTTCCTTCCAGAGCCAGACCAGCTCAGATTGTTATAAAAAAGCAAAATAAATTCAATATTTGCCTATTGGAAACTAGAGCTTGTACAATTAGGTACAGACTCTCGTCCTTCAGTTGTCTCATAGAACAGACTGTTGAGATTGCATTTCAAAATTGTACAGCTGATTATTTTTCTTTTTTTTCAATTTTGCAGAGATATGCGAGAAATGAAAAACCTTTTAAGCAAACTCAGGGAAACTATGCCTTTACCACTGAAAAATCAAGGTGAGTTTTGTCATTTCTTTTTGAGGCAAAGGATGTTTTTTAAAATAACGTTGAAATGTGTTTCTTGAGAAAGTAAAGCAAGTTTAGTACACAAGTAATCAAAGGCATTGGTCATACATCTGTCTTTGCTCCAGAAGGTACGGTAATGAGAAGGGAGTACTCAGTGACCCTAGTTTTGCTCTGAAGAGAACTGAGATTCACTCTGACCGCAAATCAGATGCCTCCTCCACTGGCCTCAGTCAGGAGCATTTCTTCATTGCCCTCATTGAGAAACGTGCAATCCCACATGTGGCAGACACAAAGGACTGAAGGCTTGGCCCTTACTTTTAAGAAGTTTACTCTAGTAAAGGAGGCTTAAGAACACTAACAAAGGAAGACCTCCTGCCATCCAGATGTGTATTATCTAAAGGAAGTAATAGTAAGATACACTGAGAACTTACACATGCCACCCAACTCCAATGTATGTGTGGGGGAGGGTCCCCAATACCCAGCAATTCTTGAATACCAGCTGTGTATCCTACAATGTAACTGAATTCTGACAGTTCCTGGAGATATCAGATGCTGAAAATTAAGGGTTTAGTCATCATACAAGACTGTCCCTCTCATCAGATGCCAATCACTAGTCAAGGTTGTCACCTGTACTTCTGACCAATCACCTATAGATTGGAAGTTCCAAAGGCCACCCCCATGGGTTGGTTAGTTTGCAAGAGCAGCTCCAAAAAACTCAGAGAGACATTTTACTGCTAGATTATGAGTTTGTTACAAAAGGATATAACTCATTGTAGGGGCAGGAATTGGACACAGTGCAGGTTTTCTACGATCCCATGCATGCAGACAAGGAGGAGAGAGTCTTCAGTGGCTTTGCAGGCTTTTATTGGGATTTACCGGGTACATGGCTGGCAGGGGTGCTGGGGTGCCAGGAGGCTGTTAGGCCTCCCAGCGCCCAGCAAGTCTTCACTCTATCTGGGCTCTCTCTGGCGTTCTCTCTGTTTCTCTTCTTCTCTCGGCTTCCGTTCGTTCTTGGCTTCTGCTGGTGTCCCTGTGATGCCACCCTTGTACCCAGGTGCCTGCCATCAGGCATGCATTCAGGACCACAGGGTTCCCTCATCTATCCTAATAGGAGGGCAGAAAAGCCTGATACTTTTACCTTACCCTACACGCGGGAAGGTCAGATGGATGAGATGGGGGAGCTTCCATCTCCTAAGTATGCCAGTCTCCCCAGTCTCCATATAGTCACCACAGGAAACTCTCTGACCCCTGTGCGCTTGGGTTTTCATGGAGGTTCACTGCACAGGCATGACTGATGAAGTCACTGGCTATCAGTGATGGAACTCTTCAGCCCCTCCTCCCTGGAGGTTGGGGGTGGGACTGAAAATTCCAACTCTCTAAAAAAAAAAAATCTGTTGGTTCCCATGGCAACCAGCCTCCAACCTCAGGTGTTTTCCAGAAGTCACCTCATTAACATAACAAAGGACACCTTTTCTCTCTCAGAACGTGGGAAATTTCAAGAGTTTTTAAGATCCTTGAGTCTAGAACAGACATACAGACATATTATTATAAGTCACAGTTCCACAATTCCACTGTTCTAAATATTATAGATTGACTATATTAACTTAATAATTCTAATAAACCTTTGAGAAAAATGCCTTTTATATTAATATAATTTAATATTAAATTAACATTCCCTTATCTACAGGAAAGTTAGGTACAGAGAAGTTAACTAACGGGGCCAAGGTCACAAAGACTATAAGAAAATGAGATGTGAATCTAGACCATCTGGCTCCAGAGCTATCCTAAGGTAGTTAACTGTCGCGCAACCAACCCATACCGAGTAGGTTCATTACTGGTTCTAGCAGCCATGCTGGTGTCTTCATACTCTCCGCTGTTCATCGTCGCCTGCCACATACCTTCTTGCTTCTGAGCAAGAAGGAACAGGACCTGGCAGCAGAACAGAAGAGCCTCTTGGCTCAGGATGCAGGGTGGCAGAAGGTGAAGAGGTGGAAGTGATAACACCAGACGGACAGGCTAGTCTGAAGCTCTCCTCAGCTTCTTAATACTGTGGGGTCAATGCCCCCAAAATGGTCAGATAAAATTTTCTCAGTAGGCCTAGAGCAGGCCTCATGTCACATTGGTCTGGAACTAGAGGTCAGTCAAGCAGTCAAGACCCTGAGAGTCTCAAGAGGTCCATTTCCATTACTTAGGAATGTAAATTGTTTCACTTTGTGCTCACTGTAATGAGGACCCTGAAGCCTTGGAGAAGCTGATCTGGCCCAAGTCCTTCACTCAGCCCTGATTAAAGAAGAGACAAATATATCCTCATCGATAAAACAATCACTATTCTCCCTTTTATTAACCTGGAAGAATATGATGTGGGGTTCTCAGCCAGTTTTAGGTTTATCAATAAACACATTCTCTCAATCTAAGAATCGCACCTTTACTGAGTAAGGATGAGGTCACCATGCTCTTTTTGTCAATCATGTGACATCTCCCCCTTCCTGTCCTTGATACCCCACATTCTAAAACGCAGGATGGGCCTCCCCGGTGGCGCAGAGGTTGAGCATTGGGTTGCAAAGCTGCCCGCAGCCTCTGCAGCTGCGGTTCGATCCCCGGCTGCTCCCCGGCCACCAGAGGAGGGTCCCACGTGGCGCGCAGACCTCTCCTGCCTCCCGCTGCTCCCCTCAGCAGTGTGCTTTCGTCCTTCTGCCTGCTCTGCTCCCTGCTCTGGCTCTGGTGAATTCTCTCACCCTCCCGCGCTTCTGACTGTTCCCAGTGCTTGTGTAAAATAAATAAATAAATAATAAATAAATAAACACAGAACTTATAAAAAAAAATTAAAAAAATAAAAAGAAATCTAAAATGCAGTCCTGGTCTGCTCCAGAATTGACAACCATATAAATTCTCTATTTGTGTGTTATTTAATTGATTGTTTTTCCTCTGCTAACTCATCCGATGCTGGTTTGATTACTCCTTCAGTCTGAGAAGAACCTGGGGGACATGGGGTGATTTCTTTTGTGGCACAGCATATGTTTATCCCCAACAGCAGCTTGAGGGCCCCTTGCTGTGACTTACATTTAGCTGCCCAGAAGATAACTCTGGGTTCTCAGTCTGAATTTCATGTACACCTTGCAGCCTATATTTTAAATCAAACCATCTGAAATATTCCCTCTCCATTTAGTGAAAATTCATCCAGCAGAGTTTGAACCATGCATTTGTTTTAAAGTTTATTTATTTATTTTAAGATTTATTTATTTATACAAGAACTGGGGTACAGGCCAGATGCGCAGGAGGGTGAGAGGATTCACCAGAAACAGAGTGGGGAACAGAACAGGCAGAGTGACGAAATACACTGCTGAGGGGAGCAGCGGGAAAGGTCTGCCTGGAGACGGGAAAGGTCTGCCGCACCATGTGGGACCTTCGCCGGCTGGCCGGGATCGAACCGGCACTGCAGAGGCTGCGGACAGCTCCATAGCACTGCGATCAGCTGCACCACGAGGGAGGCCCTGAACCATGCATGAACAAAAAAAAAAAAAAAAAAAATCAGAACTTTCCATTTTATTAACTTAGGACATATTGATAATCTAAAAAAGTCTAATATAGTAACTTTGTATTACTTTTATAAACATAAAAAATAATTCAAATGTTAAATACATTTAAAAAATATTAACATGTAACTTGCGATTGATACTATGTGTAAAACAGGCATGAAAAGAGAATAGTCATTCAAATCCATGATACCCCAGGACTTGAACCCTGAATGAATGAATTTGAGGAATGAAAAGGAGAGAGCCAAGAGATACAAAGACTTCTTCATGAGGGAGAGATGTCATAGGGTTTTAAAATAACTTTTAATAAAATTGAAGTGAAGTCTTATGGGAAATTCAAATTCCTTGATTTGGGGGGAGAAAGGACAATCCTCACCTGTAAAGATTTGTGTTTGTTCTCTAGATGTTTGGTGAGCATTCACAGCTTGATGTCACTGCAAGCTGACCTCTGGAGGAAGGGGGTGGGGGTGAGTCTAGCGTGGAGGATCCAGGAAGGCCTGAGGGAAGGAGAATAGGTTCCTTGGGATCTCTCTGGGAGCATTTTTTAGCAGATGCCTATGGTGCCATTGTAATGAACAAAGTCAGCGGGAGTCATCTGAATGACTGCATACTGGGGCTTCTCCATGACCTTACCGGAATTCTTGTCAGGTACTTTGTTTATACAGGTCTAGGCTAGTATAGGCAGAAGTCATGTGGGGTGAGATGTAGGAAAAAAATTATTCCAGTTCTTTTCTGTTGGACCGTAATGTCAAAACATAATTCTAACTGGATGAAAATCATTATAGGAAGCCATCTGTTTTCCTTCTGGCTTTTTATTTTCTTTCACTTTTTATTCCATTTACGTGTGTGTTTGAAGGAGAGAGAGAAGAAGGGAAAGCTACTACTCTGGGTCGCCTTTTCTCCTGCCTCAAACCCTGACCATAGAAAAGCCTATCAGGCATGTTCTAGAAGAGCCTGTGCTGGAAAAGCTCAAATTCCCCTGCTCTCCAGGCTCCAGACTGGACCTCAACTCAGAAACTGTTCAGGGTTTATTTCGGCATTTAAAGATTTAATCATAACTCCCCCTATAACCACCACAGTCAAAATTTGATGCAACAACGGTTTGCTTTAAATTTATTTTCTGTGACAAATATAGGATTGTGGCCAAGAACAAGAATTTTAATGGTTAGTGGTAATTTTAATGGTTAGTGGTAATTTAATGATTAGTGGTAATTTTAATGGTTAGTTTAGACAGATCCTTTTCCCTCCTATCCTTCCAGTTTAAGACTGGGGACAAATGGGTACGCAAAAGAAAAGCATGGCCCTTGTTCTTGCAGCTCCTACAGCCTCCTGACAGTGTCCAGGTCTCCTGGCTCACAGCCCTCTGTTCTTTCCACTCGGTGCCTCCTGTCCTACATTCTGGGTCACTGGCAGTGCTGTGGGGAGCTTCATTAATTATGATAGTCTTGCTGTGTCAAATGGATTACAAATGGTACCACCTGTGGAGAGCCCACAAGGTTACTGACAAAGGCTAAAAGGAGATTGGAAAGTGAAGGACAAGCATCTTCCGAATATGTACTGTTAATCAAACAAAACATCTCAGCAGAAATAAATTAAGCCTGAAAGACAGTTTCACCTTTTCCAAAATTTCTGACTTAATGAAGGATGTGGGATGTATTGGTATGTTCACTCTTGCCTACAGTTTGGTTGTTGAGACCATGCGTTAGAATCAGCCTGAAATGGATCAGTCAGGAATTGCATAAATTCTAGAATAGGACCCCTCTGCCAACATCCTACTCCAGACTAAACTCCAGACTCAAATCCCATGACACTCTCCAGTTTGGATGTCCAGAACCAGAATCAATACCATCAAGTCAGGCAGAAGAGCTCTGATATCTGGTTGAAGAACCCTGGCAGTGTGCCATGTTCTAACCTGGAAGTGACCTTTTAGGTTCTTCCCCCATGGGATGTCTGCTGATGTCTGGATGCTACTTTGGGCAGTTTTTTTTTTTTAAGATTTATTTATATATGCATAAAAGAATTGGGGTGCAGGCCAGAGGTGCGGGAGGTAAGAGGATTCACCAGAGACAGAGTGGGGAACAGAACAGGCAGATTGACAAAATCCACTGCTGAGGGGCGTAGCGGGCAAGACAGGAGAGGTCTGCTGCGCCATGTGGGTTGCTCCCTGGCCGGGGATCAAACTTGTGCCGCAGTGGCTGCAGATAGCTTCATACGTTGTGTCTTAACCCCTCGTGCCACCAGGGAGGCCTGCTTTGGGCAGTTTTATTGGTAGCCCTATATCCTTTGTAATCTCAACAACCTTTTATCTAGAATTCAGATATATACCTATCTCCAATGGCGACATGTATATGACCACACCTCCACAATCACACATGAATTGCTTAGTGCAATACTTTGTGTTGTGCCCCTACTCATAAATGTTAAATGTTTACTCGATGTCCACAGATGGAGGAACAGACTTTTCACCCTGGCATGTGTTGTCCTCTCCATCATCATCACCAAGAAATGGTCACCTAGGATGTGCCAAATTCTGGGTCAGGTGTTTAGAATATGTCTACCCTTAGACACTCTAGATCCGGCAGGAGAGAACTGAGTGAGCATCACCTGGGAAGCTTTTTCAAGTGGTATGTCCCTCCCCTGGTAGATAGTGATGGAGCTTTTCGGGGTAGGGCATGTGAATTCTGGAAACAACTATCGTACACATACACACATATACACACTATTGGAAAGACAAAGAAAATAGTGCTTTGAATATAACAATGTCATAATATCATTAGTTACATGTGGGTTGCTACAGGGCTTATTGGATTCTCATGAAGTCAGATTTGAGTTGTTAAAGGGAGGGAGGGAGTAATGAGAATTGCTTTTTGCAAAGTGAAAGGAGAGATGTTTTAGGTGTCAGACAAAGAAAGAGATGGAAAGAAGTCTAGGAAACTTACTGTTGGCTGAATTTCCTACTCTCCCTTTGCTCTCCTTTTCTCTTTGCTTTCCTTGCTCCCCTTCCCTTTCTCAATTTTTATTTTCGCACTTTAAACTGCCCTAGGTTATGATTCTGTGAGACCTCACCCTTTAGAGAAAAGATGCCATGAAAGTCTTAATAAACACATATAAACCAACATTTGCAAAGAGAAAATATATCAAAGACTTCCCAACAAGTTCAGATGGATTAGCCCAGAACACACAGAATAAGTCAGGGAATATTCCATTTTGCTCACATTCTTTTGGCCTGTCACTTCAGAGGCAGCATTTCAATCAATGTGGGAAGACTTCTTTCCTTGGAGATGAAGTCACTTCAAACCTTTCCAGGCATACTTACTGCTCAGTGAATTTCAACCCTTACTGCAGGTGTCAGCTTCCTATGGTGTAGAGAGCGGTTCCAAATGCCTACTAAGAATTGTTGCGCTTTTGTGTCACTTCAGCCCTAGGTGTTGATCAGACAAGCTCTGGGCCAGACAAAGGTGTCACAAATGCTAGACAAAGATGCCTCAACCCAGCAGTCATCCTACGTGGGTGGCCTGTTCTTTGCTTAACATCTGAGCACTTTCTCACCAATCCCAACACTTCCTATTCAAGTGTGTGTGTGTGTGTGTGTGTGTGTGTGTGTGTGTACAATACTCACAAGTGATTATATATGAGACAAGAAAGATGGCTGAGGAGAATTTCTATAGCGTAACAAGTTTTTGATTCATTATGATGAGTACACATGTAAAAGGACAAGTCTTAATATAAATCTCATAATATCTGTTGCATAATACCTGTAAGCTTTTAACACATAGAAGAGAGAGTAAGAACAAACATACAACCACAACATACACATGCACACTTTTTTTGCAGATACATTGTAGTAAATATTTCCTCATATAGTGGGAACAGTACAGATAATTGCGTCTTATAATATATAAATACATGTTCGGACACTCCCCAGTTCTCTTAAAAGTTGGAAAAAGAAAGGGATATATGGAATTCAGGAGCTAGATCTTAGAAAAATGTCTTAGAGACAGACATTTTTCATACCTATAAATAGCTTCATAGTTTTGGTGATTCTGTTCCAAGGAAGCATTGAATTTCAGGTGAACTTGAGTTTCAGGAACTATAGTCAGTATCTAAAGAGATACTAAAGTTAAATTGATTTACCCTTCAGAGTCTTTTATGTTTGCCATATCCAATTAGGTAAAGTTCACTGGCCATTCAGTGGTTAAAAGAGTAAGAGTCCTAAAAATGATATGAAAGTGAGAAACTAGCTTATCATTTCTTTTGGTTAAGAATATATCATGATTCATCTCTGAGACATTCTCCTGAGAAATCAGGCTCATTTACAGTGTCTGATATTGCTTTCAATATCTCAGCTACTTGGGGCAAGTTTAACTATAAAGGAGAGATGTCCTATTTTTAGCTCTCAAAATGTTGACATCTAGATTATAATGAATTATTTTCACTATGGAAAGGACAAAGATAGTCCTGTTTTTCAGCAGCATTGGTAGCAGAATGAGTTTTTAAAGAGGATTTTAACCTAGGGAGACTCAGAGAGTGTTTGATTAATTTGATCTGCCCAATTGGGGCATCTGTTTTTCTTCCCTGGCTCTCCCTTACTGCTCTAGTTCCATCTAAATGTATAACCTAGCGCACATTCCAAGGAATACTGCCAACTTGGTGGGTGATGCTAATTTACAGAGGAGCATGACACATGGAAGAAAATCTTTAGGGAAGGGGGAGAGGAGCCTAGACTCATGGATGACACAAGTTATATAAGATGATTGGGAAGCTAGGGCCCATTTGTGTTCTTTTTTTAAGATTTATTTATGCACACAAGAACTGGGATATAGGCCAGAGATGCAGGGAGGGGGGCACAGGATGAAGGGATTCACCAGAGACAGAGTGGGGAACAGAACAGGCAGACTGACTGAAATACACTGCTGAGGGGAACGGTGGGTGAGACAGGAGAGGTCTGCTGAGCCTTACAGGTAGCTCCCTGGCAAGGGATCAAACTCATGCTGCAGTGGCTGTGGATAGTTTCATAGTGCTGTGACTTAACCCCTTGTGCCACCAGGGAGTCCCCTGTGTTCTTGATAATTCCCCAAATATCTGTGGGCTCAATAATCAAGGCAAACGAACACTCATGTACAAGCCAGTTTTCTGTTGAGCCGGTGCAGAGTCTGCACTATGCAGTCCATCTCTTCATCTGACTCCTGATCTGGGCTCTTGCCTAAGGTCCTGTCTCCTCAGAATTAAGATGTGGCAAGCAGGTGCCCCTGAGCTCCGCTCTGGGAGGACAGTGCAGTCCTAAGCCCTTGCAGAGATTAGGTCCCTCACAGTTGCCAACGTCAGCAGGCCACAGGGCTACCCCTAGCTCCAGGCTGACTGTAGCAGGTTTCCAGGATGAATCTCCCCGGTTGGCAATTTTTAGATTATTTCCTTGTGGTCTTTCTACAGCCCCTGAGGCCACACTGAGCTGTTCTGCTCCATCAGGCTGGTTCTACCCATCCTTTCTTTTGGACTGCATTATTTCTTTAAGACCCAGGTCATTAAACTAAATTTGATTTACTGGTTTATTTTTCTCCTCAAATTGTATTCATAAAATTCCAAGCCAAAACTTAGGCGTTCAATGGTCAGTAATCTTCTCTGAACACCCTTATATACAGAAATCTATAGAAAGTGCTAGGACTCAACATGGAATAGTTAAAACTTCTTAAAATTATGAAGAAGGTAAGTGAATGCAAGACAATGGTCCTGTGTTAAGAAAAATAGGTAAAGAACAGCTATACTTATGGAGTGCTTCCTCTGTGCTAGACACCTAGGAGCCCACACAAGTGAAATTGTCTCAAGGACCTAAGGTAAGTATTATTAAACCTTATTTTACAGATGGGGAAACAAATCTGGAAAATTTAAGTGTCATGTTCAAGGTCACAGGACTAGTTAACACCAGAGACAAGCTAAGAAAAGAAGCCACCCTTAATCCAGAGCCTACGTTTTTCTTAAGAAGCTACCCTTCTCCCAAGTGAAAAATGGCTTCAAAGCAGTTCAAATGCAAGTCTAAGCATTGGTTCTCAGCTGTTATTTGTCCTCCCCATGGGAAATATCTGGGGACATTTTGGGTTGTCACAACTGGCAGGGGAGTGTTTCCGACTACAAAGCTCTAGATAGACCCCTGCAACAGAGAAGTATCAGGTGCAAAATGTGCTGAAGTGAAGAAACCTTGGTTCAAAGGATGATTTTTAAAGCCATTTTATCAAAAGCAAGCTGTTTTGTGGTAGCTCATTTATATATACATTGTATCCCATTACAGATGACAGCAGCCTTCTGAATCTAACTCCCTACCCCCTGGTTAGAAGACGGAAGAGAAGGTTCTTTGGGCTGTGTTGTCTGGTTTCAAGCTAGGCGATTCCTCCTGGAAATCCGCCATTGGGAAGACCTGGAGAAAAATCACAGGACCCGAGGACTCCAGACAGCTGAAACACAGTTATTGGTTTTTGACTATGTTTTCTATGCTTCCTTATTACTTTTATCACCTCCTCCTGCCCTTTTAAGTGATTTTACATTTGAAAGCAGCTGCTGTCAAGAAAAAAAAAAAAAAGATTCAAAAGGCAGGCTGTTTTTAAAAAGGATTTTTAAAGCTGACATGTGCATGTCTGCTCTAAACCATACCACGACAGATGTAAGACTTATGATTTTTAAATTATTTAAAGGTTTTTTTAAATGTATTATACAGAGAAAAATTATTTCATGTATAGTAGTATATCTGTAGCTCTTGCTGATCTCATGTTAACAATTTATCATATATGAAAAGGTCTTTAAACATAGAAAGCTATTCAAAGCTGCAAAACTATTCAAAATCCAATCTGTCAGTATCACTAGAAATAATATAATAGTCCAACATATACCACCTCACCTATTGCTTTCTCTGCACTCCTTTATGTTCAGTCTTCCATTCTGTCAGAATCTAAGAGCTTCAACATCAAAATATTTTAATTAATAATGCAACAAAACCCATATATTAAAAATATTTAAATTTTGTAAATACACAATAATCCTAATACCTTCCTACAATGCATATGGGCAACTAATTTCCTTTTGATCCAATGATGTCTTTTTTGGCTTCATGGATAATGAAGTAATCCAGCTAGGAAATGGTGTAGAAATATATACAATTACCCTAAAATGTAAAATTGAATAATATCACATTTTCTTCTAATTGAAATCTGAAGCATGATGTTTGCACATCAGCATAGTGTTAAATCTTATAGGGCATGCTGAAATTAGCTCAGATTGTAAAAATATTTAACATTTTACATTGTTAATAAAATCTTTTTAGTTAAGCTAAGCTTGTCTCATTTTAGATGACTATGCAGATATGACTTTTCCAATGTGTACTTGATGTCTTGTCTTATGCTTAGAATCTTGAAAGCAGGACACATTAAGCAATACTATATTCTAGAAAAGAGGAAACCACACGCTTTGTTTTTCTGCTCACAGTTTTGTTGGGATCTTCCTCCACTAAACTTATAACATGGTACAATTTTGTTATTTTTTTCCCTGTTCTTCCTTTGGCTCATTTCCCAGACAGAATTTCCCATGGGTTGAGAGTTCAGGTCTTTGCACTTTTCTTATTTTCCTTAGTCCGAAAAATCCTAATGTTAGATAAGAGGCACCAGTGTCTGGTACAATAAAAGGATGAACTAGATGCCTACAAGTTGTTTATCCAAGATGATCTTTAATCCCAACCCTATACTTCCTCAGTACTTATGTGCACAAGCATTTATTTGTCCACCAATATTTTGACCTAAAAAAACAAAGTTTATCGCTTCAGTGAAGATCAAGATAGATGCAGATGAACTACTGGATTAATTACTGTATTAGGTTGAATTATATGAAGTTGCTGATATTTGACTGTTTTGACCTACAAAAATGGCAATTTCATACAGTTTAATCTAATAGCTGGTACTATGGAAATTATCCCTGGAATTGTTTTCTAGCTCTTGTGATTGAAAGTAAAAGAATGAAAGAGTTGAAAGACATGCAGGTCTTTAGGTTATACCAGCTGTCTTTGGCCATCTTCTTGGAGTCAAGAGGTGTGTTCAGTGAACTGGTAATAAAAGGATGGTTATAGGTATGCCTATTTCATATGAAGAAAATCCCTTAAAAGTTAGATAAGAAAAGTTTGATTTAGTTTCTAAATCAAACACTTGTAAAACTACTGTGGGAATATGTATTTCAAGACTCCCTGGTGGATACTCTCTTGAAAGCAAGTAACCACTCCCCAGATTTACCTAGTCTACAAATCCTGGTTTTTGTAAATCAGGTTTGATTAAAGCTTATTATCCTCTCCTGAATGCAATTCATTGTCATGCCCTGAGGTTAATTCACTAGAGTCCAATATTTTGGGAATTACAAAAGAGCCCAATTTGGCATGCTCTCACCTCCTCCGCTCTCTGCCTCTCCCACCCTTTCACAATATTGAACCCCAGCTTCAATATTCTTTCTACTAATCCATGCAAAGTTATTAAGTGATAAGCCCAACCTTGATGTTCAGCACGTTCTTCTAAATGCCTGACCTAAATAACTTCTGCTTGGTTAATTTGTGCTCACTCTCGCCTTAGTCTCAGTGTGAAAGTAACAATTACCTTCTGTGCAATAGTCCTTTGTATGACTGAAGACTGTTAATAAATTCAGGTCTCACCTCCATGTCTGGGAGGGCTAAAGTAACTATTATGGAGATGGGAATTTACCTAATTCCCTAGTTAAGCTTTTCATATAGGTAAATAAATTCAGTCACTTTACCTTGTATTCGTAGTGCCTGTTTCCCAATCTTTGATCAATTTTGTAGTTCCCATGGACACACTCCAAGATTTATAGAGCTTCAATCACTAGCAGGTCCTAAATTAAATTTAGTGCTCAAAGTCCTAATAATCTACCCTGGCTCACAGTTGCAATGGGCAATTCATCATCTCTCATTAGATATGCCAATGGATTTCTTGAGGACCTGACCCACACTCCTCTCACCTACCAAAGGACTTTCTCAGGTGTGGTTCCATGAGATACAGTTCTACTGTCTCAACTTCTTGATGGTGATTTGCTTTCAGAATGGCAGTAGCATTGAGCTGATCTCTAGCTGAAGCAGAAAAGGACATAAACTTTTCCTGGCATACACTCATTTATGTTACTATCATATTTTAAGATCCCAAAGTGATTTTTTTTTTCAGACTACAGAAGTAAAACATGTTCTTTGTGGGAAATCTGAAAAAAGCAAGAGGGTATAAAGAAAATAAAAATCACTTGAGTTCTACCACAATCACATTGTTTAAAACTATATTTCCAGGCCTTTAAGTCAGTCCATACAAATGCGTGTTTGATTTAGTTGTACAAAGAAAGGCCCAGAAGGTCAAGGTGTCTCTAAAAAAGAAAAAACAGAACTGCCCTCTATAATAGTTTGCATGTACTTAGTAACAAATTTACCGACAGCTTCTGGTTGTTCCATTGTTCAACAGTAGAAAAAAGACTTCTGAAATTGCTGAGCCCTGATGACTCCTCTAACACATGACAGCTCTTGGAGAAATTCTAAAATCCTACCAGATTTTTTTTCCCCGTTAGGTGCTCCTCCATCGGTTGGGATACTTACTCACGGTTTGGCAATACTGCCACCTACTGAAAACTGATCATTGGAGTAAGAAATATATCCTATACAATTATCTAATTTATTTTAAACTGCAAACAAATGGGTCAGTTTAACAATGATCTCATGTGAATTTCAGACTCTGGAAGTCTCAGAGTTGAAAGGATTAGGAATATCATCCACCCTAACTTCCCACCCTATACAATATACCTAAACAATGTCTGTCTTTTCTTTGTGCTCTAGAATGTCACCAAATGCCAAATGATCAACTTTCTGGGAACTATGTAGGTAGGACAGATCACTGGAATTAAATATAAAGTCCAGAAATAAACCCAAGAACATATAGGAATTTGAGTACATTATAAAGATGCCATTATAAATCTGTGAGACGTGGTTGGATTATTAATTAAGTATACTGGGATAACTATATAGCCATTTGTCGGGGAAATGTTAGTTCTATACCTCTTAACTCTTATCACAAAAAATTATAGAGAAAGTAAATATTTACTTGTTAAAGCCCACAAATAAACTTGCAAAAGGACTATCAGTCAATGTTGATGAATGTCTAAGTAAATTTTGTGTGGAAAAAAAATCTTTCAATGCAGATACCAATGGAAGAAACCACAAAGGAGCAGATGGTTGTTTCTGATTCATTAAAAATGCAAATACCTATATAGCAAAAAGTAACAAACCTAATTAAGAGAAAACAAAATTAGAAATATATGCTAAATACTAGAAATTGAAGTTTAAAGCCCACTATCTTTAGGAAGTTTCCATAAGCTCTGATCCCTTTCCCAGCCAAGTGTTCCCCCTTCATTCTTTCCTTATTGCACTTTTTTCATTACTATTTCTTTGTCTTTTTATCACCAATAAATTAGAAGTTCAAGAAAGAAGCAACTATGTCTAACACTAAGCTAGACACTAAGTAAATATAAAAACATATTTACTGAGTTGAGTGAATAAAGAATGCATGAATAAAAGACATTTTATGATTCAAAAAGAATCAAACTCAAAAAACTGAGCTAAGACAATGAACTGACAATGCATATAACACACTAACAATTAATATAAAAATATCAACTATTAATAAAAATGCAAATTGTTATGATATACTCCTTTTTACATATCAAAAAGTAAGAGTATTAATAATTAAAGTTCCTGAGGACAGTAAGGGTGCATGGAAATGAATATTTTCTTTTAGAATCAATAAGAGTATAAATTGATTTGACCTTTCTGGGAAATATTTTGTCAATATATTTTCATGCATGCCAACTAATTCTTCTTTAGAGAAATTCTCCTTTGACAGTTCAGAAAAAAAGAACTAAAATGAGTTTATTCATTATTTTTTAAAAATTTGCAAAAAGGATGTTTATGGCAACATTATTTGGAGGAGTAGAGAAGTGTGAATGAGCATTATAGGGTTGGTTAGATATGGGACAGCTTTTCAAAGAAATACTGTGTGGAAAAGGAAAGTTATACAAGAATATCTATAGTATGATCCAATTTTCAAAATACACATATACATGTGTGCATTAGAGTCCGATAAGCTATTTGCTAAAATGTTAACAGTACTTATTTCTGGGAGGTGAGAATGGGAGCAATCATATTTTCTTTTTGCATATCTGTAATTTCCAATTCTTCCATAATGAGCATGTAGTATCTGTATAATTTTTTCAGGGAATAAACAACAACCTTCACAATATATATTGAATAAAAATACATGTTATAAAACTGTATGTATAGTATGACACAATATTTGTAAAAAAGAAAATTATATATAAATATATCTATGTATGTATATATATATGCATAAGAAAGCTAGAAAGACATACACTAAATTGTTAATAGTAGTTATTTATGGGTAGTGGGATTATAGGTGATTATTTTTTCTTTTTTGCTTTTCTGTGTTTTCTAATTTTTCTACAATGAATATGTATTACTTGTGTAATAAAAACTAATAATAAACATTTAAAAAAAGAATTAAAAAATGAAAGGCATTATGCCTCGTTCCTTACCTTTGTCCTACCAAAGCATTTAAAGTACTCATGATTTCATGGTCAACAAGTCCAGGTAGCCACTTGTCATCCCTTTAGTGAACAAACGTGATGCTCTCTGCCAAAAATGCTCAGACCAATAGGTTCACCCTATGTGTTGTGACATATGGTAAGGTCTTTTAGGGACAGAGAAACCTGGTTCCAAAAGGTCATTTGAGGACATAGAATTTTGCTATACTCCAGGCACCCAGGCACTCAAAATTAAAATAAATATACAATGATAACATAGTATACTGTAGATGAGTGAGATCTACCAGAGTTAGAGAAGTCTGGTCAAATGGTAATCTGAGAAAAACAAAAAGTCATCTGAAGATAAAGATTTAGGTTATTCCCTAGGTGAAAATACATATAATGAGAACTGAGTGCTATTTTCCTTGTCAGATAAAAGCCTATAACAGTATAACATAACAAGCAACAGTGCAAATGTACTTGCTGGTTGATAAAATTCAGTATGGGCTTTGAGAGATTTTCTCTCTACCTGATCCCCAAAAATCTCTGCGGGGACACTTAAAGAAAGTTAATTGTTGCAGGAGATATAAAATTAGCAACTCTTATTAGGGACACACAATATCTCTAGAATCCTAATACTCTTCAAATGCCTTATTTTTTTTTTTTTTTGGTCTGATAAAACACAACTAGTAGAGATCTTTAGAACTGTTCTAATGTCTCAAGACACTCATACCTGAGGCTGTTTTACTCTGTTCTAATAAAGATACCACAATCAGCATAGCAGCTGCTACTGGGACTTCTTGGACAAGCTGGTGGTTTGACCATCCTATTTGTGAAGCAACCAAACTGGTGAATCAAATGGTAGCTGTCAGAAGTATCACCCGGGTCACCACATTTCAGTGACCTCATCTTCAGGTGGAACGATGTGCCTACAGAAAAGCATCACAAATCCATCAACAGCACGTATCTGAGTGGGAAGAGAGAAATAAAATAACAATCTGATGGAGAAAAACATTCTCATGAGCGTACCCCAGTCACTCTTCCACTAAAACTCCATCTTTTAACTTAACATGTTGTAATTATGTTATCAGTGTGGGAATTTATCTTCCATATGGATGAGGGAGAAAACTTCATCCCAAGTTAGAGGGGCAGAATGGGCCAGCATTCATGTTGGTCCAAATGCTCAGAACCCAGATTGTGGTATCTGACCCAGCTTTGTGTATACACAATGGAATTCTACTGAGCTATGAGGAAAAAAAGAACTCTTGCCATTTATGACTACATGGATGCAACTTGAGGGGATGATGCTAAACTAAGAGTCAGAAGGAGAGAGACAAATATCAGTTTATTTCATTCACATATGGAATATAAACAGAGCAGAGGGACAGGCAAAATCAAACCAAATAAAATCTAGGATAATTACTGCAGAACTGAGGCCCTCAGAGAGAGTGGGGACATGATCACTGGTGGAGAACAAGGTTCAATGGACTATGTGATGAAGGACTACTGGTGCTTTGGTAGTGGGTGTGGTATGGAAACATATTTGAGAGGTGTGAATATATACTCCTAAAAAATATACAGTGTTGCAAAGCTATGTTACCTCAGTAAAAAAAAGGAAATTGTTGTAACTAAATGTTCTGTTAATTAGAAATACCTCCATTTTATTTATACTTTATAATCAAGAAAACTGATACAGAAGCTATTTAGGAGAGTTGTTAAATTCAGGATGAGGGAAAGAGTTGTTTCTTTGTTTTTTTCCCCCAATATATTTCTTCCCTTTTAGAATTATAAATTAAATTCGAAATAAATATTAAATGAAGTAGAAAAATAAAAAGCTTCTGTACAAAGAAACTTGCATCAAAACAAATGCATTCTAATGACTGGGAGAAGATATTTGCACAACACACTTCTGACAAAGGGTTATAGTATGATTCCATTTATGTGAAATGTCCAGGACAGACAAATTTATAAAAGCAGAGAAAAAAAATCGCTTGTTTCCCAGGGTGGAGCACTGAAGGGCAAACAGAAGGGACTGCTAATGGTATGGGGTTTCTTTTGAGAGTGATGAAAATGTTCTGTAAATGATCATGTTGATAATTGCACAATTTTGTGAGTATACTAAAAACCAGTAAATTCTATGCTTTAAATGGATGAATTATGTGTTGTGTGAATTATGTTTCAATGAGAAGCTATTGAAGCTATTATACATTTTTAAATATACTGGTGGTTGTATTCATTAAAACAAAGCAAGAAAGAAAATTAACTACCTACAGATTGAAATGTAAGAAATTAAACATCCATTTGCAAATGACTTGTCTATCCAGGTTGAAATCAAAAAAAAAAAAAAAAGCAAAAATATACTGGATTTAATAAGTGAGTTTGTCAAGGTCACAGTCAGTCAACATGTTAAAAATCAATTCTACTTCTGTTTGTCAACAATAAACAATTATAAATTGAATTTTTAAGAATTATCATATGATGTTAGTTTTTTAAATATGTGCCATTCTCACTGGTGTAAAATAGCACCATAATATATGAAATACCTAGATACAAATCTTATAAAATAAATACAAGATCTGCATATTGAAAATTACAAAATTTGTTGAAAGAAACCAAAAATCACCTAAATGGATGAAGCAATATGCCATGTTAATAGGTTATGAAATAGATTCTTCACAAACTGATTTAGATATTAAATGTAATTCCAGTTAAAATTCCAGCAGGAATTTTTATAGAAATTGACACTTGATTCTAATTTACATGGAAAAGCAAAGGAACTAGAATAGTCAAGATAATTTTGTAAAAGAAGAAAAAATTGGAGAACCACACTACTTGATTCAAGACTTACTATGTAACTACAGAATAAAGACAGAAGTATTGGCAAAAGGATAGACACATAGATCAAATGGAGCAGAATGAAGAGTACAGGAATACACACACACACACACTCACACACAGAGTCAGCTGATTTTTTTACAAAGGTGCAAAGGCAGTTGAATGGAGAATCTATAATCTCTTCATTAACTAGTACTAGAATAATTGGCCATACATAAGCAAAAAAATGAACTTTGAACTATACATTATGCACTACTCAAAAAACAACTTAAAATTTAAAATCTAAGGTAAAGTATGAAACTACAAAAACTTGTAGAAAAAAATAGGAGAACATATCTGTTGCTTACATTTGTCAATGATTTCTTAGAAATGGCACAAAAACCACAAACCATGAAGAAACAGCAATATATTGAAGCTCATCAACACAAAACTTCTGCTCTCTGAAAAACTATTTAAAAAAAATATTTTTAATAAAGTCATAGGCTGGAAGAAAATGCTTTGTGAAATACATATCTGTTGAAAGATTGATGTCCAGAATAAATACTTTTTGAAATTCAATAAGGAAAACAAACTACCTTATTAGAAATATATAGGCAGGAGCTCTTTAATTTGATGTAGTCCCAGCTGTTTATCTTAAAGAGCTCCTGCCTATATATTTCTAATAAGGTAGTTTGTTTTCCTTATTGAATTTCAAAAAGTATTTATTCTGGACATCAATCTTTCTGCACTCCTATGTTTATAGCAGCACTGTTTACAATAGCTAAGCTTTGGAAACAACCCAAATGCCCAAAAATAGATGACTGGATCAAGAAGATGTGGTACATATATACCATGGAATATTACTCAGCATTCAAAAAAGATAAACACATGCAATTTGCAGCAACATGGATGGCACTGGAAGGGATCATGCTCAGCGAAATAAGCCAAAAAGAAAAAGAAAAATACCGGATGGTCTCACTCATAGCAGGAATCTAGAAAACTTAAATAAGGGACCAGGAAAATGAATATAAGAAAGTGAAAATCAAAATCAACAAAAAAACTATGAACCAGAGACACTTTTTGGGGGGTGGGGGGGCGGGAGGGGAAGGATTGGGGTCAGAATGGGGCGTTTGCAATTGTATGGGGGAATATAAAAATAAAATTTAATATTTAAAAAAAAAAAAAAAAAAAAAGAAATATATAGGCAGGGCCTCCCCGGTGGCGCAGCGGGTTGAGTGCCGTGCTGTGAAGCTGTCTGCAGCCTCTGCAGCGCTGGTTCGATTCCCGGCCGGCCAGGAAGATACCTACATGGTGAGGCAGACCTCTCCTGCCTCACCCGCTGCTCCCCTCAGCAGTGTCTTCGGTCTGTAAGCCTGTTCTGCTCCCCACTCTGTCTCTGGTGAATCCTCTCACCCTCCCACGCTTCTGGCCTGTACCCCAGTTCTCAAGAACCTTGAACAATACCTTATGAAGGACTAGGGTACAGGCCAGAGGTGCGGGAGGGTGAGAGGATTCACCAGAGACAGAGCGGGGAGCAGAACAGGCAGACTGACGAAATACACTGCTGAGGGGAGCAGCGGGTGACACAGGAGAGATCTGCCATGCCTTGTGGGATTCTCGCCGGCCGGCCAGGATCGAACCCATACTGCAGAGGCTGCATACAGCTTCACAGTGCAGCACTCAACTGCCTGCGCCACCAGGGAGCCCCCAAAATAAATAAATCTTTAAATATATATATATATATATATAGGCAAAAAAATGAAGAGACATTTCATGCAAGAAAATATACAACTGGCAAATAAACATAAAAAAGGAAATGTCCAACATCACTGGACATTGAGAAAACACAAAATAAAACCACAATGAAATAATACTACATATCTATTAGAATAGGAAAATAAACCCTGACAATACAGTTTTTCCAAG